ACATGGCGGGCCACATGTGGCCCGCGGGCCTTGAGTTTGACACATGTGGGTTAGTAAGTGACGGTAGCCTTCAGACCTGAGCCAGGCCGCCATCTGAACTGAGCTTGAAACTCACATTCCCTATTTATTCTGCTTCCAAAAGACAGATGCCCCAACTAATGGTGGAACTTAATTCAAATTATTAATTGGGTTAATCCCAAAATATATTGACAAAATAAGCAACATTTTCAATTCAAGCACACGTTTTGTTTCTAAATTATTGAGTAAAGAGATATATAAGCTCAACAGCAAATATATTTGTTGTTTGGTGCAAAGGTACTCAGCTTTGAAGTGTTTCCAGATCCACTGATCATTCATGTAACTTTTTTGAGAAAATGCTTTGGAAATGTGGACGCTGACATTAGCTTTGGGGACATCTGCGTTACTGCAGCATGTTTAGCATTGAGATACTATTTGCTACACAACTTGCACACAACAGTAGTTTTTTTTCCAGTGTCCTATCAGATAATGTTTTTTAAGCAAAAACTCTGGCTGGAACCTTTGTATATTTAAAAATATGATTAATTGTGTTAACATTTCTAACATGTCCAAATCTACATGATTAAATAATCGAAATAAAAATGTTCTAGTCCCTGCCACAGTCCCAAGATGTTCAAAGACTCACAATCTGGCCTATAACTAATAACTTTAATTATTAAAATTGCCTGATCTAGCTTTGATAAAGACTCTGTTGGAACATTAGGGAGCAATTTGCTGCCAGAAAGACCTGATGAGAACATGTGTGTGTATTTGTACCAGTTGACATGATGGCAGGTACCCCAAAGTAAGAAAAAGCTCCGTTCTCAAACTTCAGCGCTTCTTTACCAAACTCCACCTCAACTCGGCCCTGGAAAACAAAACACCCCAGTAACACGCATGTTGACATCACAAACACCTGTGCAGGTGAAGAGTAAGATTACAGCCGGTACCTGCAGAACCAGGATGAAGTAGTCGACCGGTTTGTTGCGGTGGAAGAGGAAGTGGTCCTGAGCTCGTTTGTTCTTCTCGTCGAATTTGAGTTCCTGGACCACACTGGGGTGCTTGATGAGCCTCAGCAGGATCTTCTCTGAGATGTGCGCAGGTTTAAAGGGCTCCACCTCTAACAAAGGAGGAGCTTCAGTAACATGGCACAGTCTACCAATGTCTCAACATTGTAGTTTCAAAAGTAAAGAGATTATCAATGTTCTATTTTTTAAAATAAACCAGTAAAGATGTGCAATATTCATTTTTAGTCTCTTTTCTATAAGACATGTGTCAAACTCAAGGCCCGAGGGCCAAAACTGGCCCGCCGTAGCTTTTTATGCGGCCCTCTAGACTCATAAATAGAACCGTCAAAATAACAGTGTGCTTATGTGCTAATGCATAATTGTGAGTTTATTGCAGATTTTTCTCAAAAATCCCATCCCAACAGTATCATACTGCCACCACCGTGTTTCTCCATTGGCATAGTGTGTTCTTTGAACAATGGTTTCCTACGATACCTGTGGAGAGGAAGCGATGTGTTGCCAGGAGCAGCTGGGGGGAAATCTTGACTTTCATTTCATTTTCCGACAGTTTGAAGATGGAAAAGTCCTGCCGCTTCCTCTCATGGTGGGAAACCCGCCGCTTTGTCCGGTTATCAGCTGAGGCATAAACCAACACACACAACATGAGTGTAAAATCATCTCCTCAGAATCCCATGCTAACTTCTCAAACAGTACAACCAAGCGTGCATGCGTGTGTGTGTGCGCGTACATACTGTAGAGATCCGTCTCATCAAGAATCTCCGACTTGATGATTTCCTCAATCACGTCCTCCAAGGTGATGATGCCCATCACCTCGTAGAACGGGTCGCCCTCGCCCTCGTTGTTCACGCGCTGCACGATGGCGAGGTGAGACTTTCCTGTAATCACAACAAATAACTTTCACCCAAATAATCACAGCTGGGAAGGAACTACTAGTTACATTTACTTGAGTAGCTTTTTTTTTTCTTTTTATGTACTTTTAGGAATATTTCTACTATGCTGTAATTTTTACTTTTTCTTCAGTAATTTTATTATGAAGTATTTCTACTCTTGAATAAAATTTCTGGATTTTTTACCTACTGAAAGAAAAACAAGCATGTTTTAACGTGAAATTCACCAGACACAGACCTGCAGTTTTTGTTAAAGTTTTATAAGTTTTTTTATTGAAAGAAACTGATTTGGTAAAAAAAAAAAAAAAAGCCTAATCTTATATTTTTTGTTATTTATATGAATTATTGTCATTTTGTTCTTTAAAACACCAAAATTTCCACATAATTTTATATTTTGGTCCATCTGGTGATGTCATTTTTACATATTGAGACTTTTTACCAAAAGCAGATTTAATAAAAGTTCAATCTAAACTTGCACACTTGCATTATTCCTCCTAATTAAAGAAACACGCAATATAATTCTTCCTAATTGTTGTTTATGTACTTTTGTTGTGCATTAAATACAGTAAAGTTTATCTATTAAAATCAAGCATCCAAGCATTTTAACTGAAAGTTGGCTGGAAGGAAAAACTCTTGTTCACAAAAAATAAGAATAACAGTAATCTTGAAGGAACCAACTTGTGTAGTGAAAAATAATCAGTGAGAAAAATATTGGAGTCTTATGCAAAACAAAAACGTAAGATGAGTAACACATTATGAGGAACACAACAAATAATAAAAAACATCATGGTGTATTTAATTTGAGTTTATTATTGAATATATTTGTACAATAACTGAGCAGCAATGCTCTCCTCTGCCGAACGCCTTCAAACCAAAACTTCTGACGTGCAGAGTGAGAGTTGAATTATGCAAAAACTAACGGAGAATATTAAACGAGCAAAGAGACGAGACAGCATGAAGGGCATGAAGTGAAAATGAAGCAAACTGAATATTTTATGAGGTTCTCTGTTCCAGGACAAACAGCAGAGGGCGAATGGTTCAGAAAAGACATTTCAAAAAGTTCAGAGTCACAAATGACATAAAAAGAACAGATCTTTAGGCTAAATTGACTATTACTTTTTAAAATCAGTTTAATTGATGGCTGCATTCTGACTTGGATTAAATATTCCTCATCCAGGATGTGTTTGTCTAATTCACGCTGAAGCTGCTCGTCTCCATACCAGCACTTTGCTGCAGTTGTTGTTCACAGCAAGGGGGGCTGTTACTTGGCAACCTGCAGTGTGTGATTCACACTGCTTAGCATTCAGGCCAAATATTCGCTCTCCTGGTTCTGCAGGCTTCTGGCTGCAGCTCTGCACTACTGTGAAACGCAGCCACAGCCGTGCTGAGGATCCTAATTTCATCCACATGAACGGCATTTCAACTTCTGGTCACTGAATGGATGGCATTGTGTCCCAGTGCCTCCAGAGTAATTAGATTTCTGCACTGTAAAACATTTGAAAGTGGCTTAACTTGAAAATGAAAGTCCACCTGCCGCCTGGAAAATGAAAATAAAGTCACAAGAAAATTGTTTTGGTTTTTACTCAGAAATTAAAGTTCATAAAGTTGATTTAACAACAAGAGACAAGTTGTCTAAACATTGTTTTTTAAGTTCATTAATCTTAACTTGTGAGTTTTAACTTAATGCTGCAATTTAATCCAAATCATTATTTAATAATATTCAAGAAAAAATCTGTCCTCACCTGGTTAAATAACCACATTTCTCTATTATTTTACTCATAATATCAAGTTAAAATAACTTATTTTACTTTAGAATAATTTAAATTCTTGTTTCAAGTTGCAATTTCTGATCTGATGATGAATTTTGTTAGACATCACAATGAATTCAGCTCAGAAACATTTAGTGTGAACAGGACTTTATCCTCAGGCTTTAAAATAAACATTTTCCTTAATAAAACACCAGAGTCGGATCAATGTGACGCACTTCCATCTCAGGATACAGAAACATGCCGCTAAGCATTCTGGGAAATAGTTCCCACTCCTGTCTTTTGATGAAGTTTAGACTAAATAATTGTGAGAACAAGACCACTGAAGGAGCTTTCTGTCATTTTTTTCCTTCTGCTTCTGCAGGATTCTCATGGTAAAGAGAAAAACTGGCTGCATTTTTCTGCTGCAGAGCCAGGAAGCGTTCCTGCAGAGAGGAGAGCAGAGGGCAAAAGAGATAATCCTCCATGTAGATTATCTCATCCAGGTCATCTACACGCAGAAAGCCTGATTACTTTTAAAAGGAACAATTGTGATTATGTGGCTGGTTCAATATTTATTCAACTTCTGGAGCTCCTAAAACAATCACTGCATGTTTAGCAGATTGGCAAAGTATCTGCTTTGCTAAACTAAACAAAAATACTAATAATCTGATGATGTTTCCTGTAGACAGAATCTGCCTCCTCCGTTTACTGCTGTCCTCACCACAAACCCAACAGACAGAAAAGTGCTGAGTCTGCAGCATCCATGGACGAGGCGGTGGAGAGCAGGGAGCTCCGTGATTGGCTGGAGCGGACCCCACCCTCAGAAACAGCCTGACTGAGACCGCAGAGCCTCTGCAAACTGGGCATGACTCTTCGTTTTGGTGCAGGGCGGGCTGTGCCTGCTCAGGCTGCAGGTTCTCACACTTTCTGAAGCAAGAGGCCGGCTCGGTTCACGCCAACACGCACGCAGCTTTCTGTTTTACTAAAATATCCACTTAATCTGAGGAAGATTCTGGATTTCAGGAATCACATCGACCTCCAAACGTCGCCTGGTCGCAGCATTATGCAATCAAGTGACTCATTTGTTTGGGACAGAATGCTGAGCTAAATGTTTTCTGGGGTATTTTTAGGATATGTCACAGTGTTGCCATGGCAACAAATGATGTGCATGCACTGCAAAAAAAAAAAATCTTAGCATGTTGGTGGAGTTTCTAGTGCAAAATATCTTGCAAATATAAGACAAACTAACTTAGAAAGCAACTTTTCAGCAACATGAAGAGGTGTGTTTGCAGTAAATAATTCTTCATATTGATGAAAAAGTTTTAGTTCTGTTGGCAGATAATTTCACAGGGAAAAAAACACCCACAATTACAAATCAAAAATCTGAAGTTAGTTGGGCTACTTTACCTCACAAAATCATTCCCGCACTTTACAAGAAAAGAAGTTAATACAAATGTTCTGATATTTTTTACCAAAGTTACATTAAAACTACAGGGTAGGCCATGAGTTTCCATACTTAGGAGAATGTAAAATGTACATTTCTTTTATATTTCAGACACCCAAGAAGGAGAAATTATACTGATGGCTGGATCAGGAAGCAGTCAAACGGTTGCACGAAACTTTAACAGAAAACAAGCATCACACACGACACAATGGCAAAACTTATTTGCAAGTTTCAGAAAATTGGAAATGTTGCAGATCAACCATGAAATGGTCCAAGATGTGCAGCGATTACACAGAGTCCCACAAAAATAAAAAAGGGCTGTCCAATATAAAATGTTTATTTTTTTCTACGTATGGAAACTTATAGCAAACCCTGCAACAAAACCTAAAAAGCAAATCCAAAGATTCACCAGAACCTTGCCTCGCAAAAATATTCCCACCCTTTAAACTCAGAGATATTAGAAAATAACTACTTTAAAAAATGTTGTTTATGAATAAGTGCACTGCAAAAACACAAAATCTTACCACGTTTTTTTCTGTCTACACTGTAAGAAAAAACCTAATTTACGTATTTTACTGTAAATTAGAGACGGTTTTTGTGTGTAGTTTCTAGTACTTGAATTAAGACAAAACTAACTTATAAGTAACTTTTCAACAAGATGTAGGAGCTTGTTTTAAGTCAATTTCACTTATGACTTATATTTTACTTAAACTGAAATAAAATAATAATAATCTACCAATGGAAGTATGACTTTTTCATTAGTATTAAGGAATCATTGACTGTACAAGTTCCTATATCTTGCTGAAAAGTTATTTGGAAGTTAGTTTTGTCTTATTTCAAGTAAAAAACTTGACTGCAGATTTAATGTTTTTACCGTGTGTTGGTGGAGGTTTTAGTTTAATCCTAGTTGACCGAAGAGGCTCCTCACCTTTTTTAAACTCCTCCAGCATCGCGTCCAGCTTGGTGTCGTTGAAGACGCAGTGCAGCGGGTGTTTGTAGAACTGCGTTATGGTTTTCAGCGGAGTGCAGTCGTCCGGGTCCACGAAGGCCAAGTCCTTGACAAACAGGATGTCCACTATGTTGGACCTCTCGTTCTCGAACACCGGTATCCTGGTGTAGCCGCTCTCCATGATCTCCGACATGGTGTTGAAATCCAGCACCACGTCCGACGCCAGCATGAAGCAGTCGCTCAGCGGCGTCAGGACGTCCTCAACCGTCTTGGTGCGCAGCTCCAGCGCGCCCTGGATGATGTTCAGCTCCTCTTTCACCAGGTCGTGGTACGGGTCTGTGACGCGCAGCATCTCCAGGAGCTTCTCTCTGGTGTAGAAGTTGGAGATCTCCTGGTTGAGAATGAGGTCCAGCAGTTTGCTGATGGGGTAGGAAATGGGGAAGGAGAGCACCATCAACAGCCGCGTCACCCAGATGGTTTTGGACGCGATGGCCAGGCCGTGACGCGATGCCACGGAGTGAGGAAGAATCTCCCCGATGAAGAAGATGCCAAAGGCGCAAATGACGGTGGAGAGCCAGGTCATGCCCAGGATCTGGCACATCCACACCGCCAAGGACGCGTTGATGATCGCGTTGCCCAGCAGCAGCGTGCACAGGACGTAGTTCCCATGCCGACGCACAGATTCAATCTTCCGCGCGTAGTTCTGCTCCTTGTCGGTGCCGCTGTTCTGCAGGACTTGTAGCTCCACCGGATCGAGCGCCAGCAGGCTGAGGTTCAGTCCGCTGAAAAGAGCCGATAAGCCGAGCAGCAGGACGGAGACCAGGACCTGCAGCCAGAGCTCCGGGACAGCAGAGCGCTCTGTCACCGCGACCCAGAAGTCTCTTGTCCGGTAGTGTTCCCACTTGGATCCGTCGAAGGCGCACATGGAGTAATACTTAATCTTCTCCCCTCTTCGCAAGTCTTTGGCCAGCAGCTCGACCAGCACAGAGTTCTGACTGGAAGCAGACTTGAAGGAACCTAAAACCTCGATGTCGGACGTCCTGGCGTTCTTGTCCATGCACATGTTCCTCTTGGGGTGGACCTGTCCCTCTCTGCCGGGACTCGGCTCCTCGATGAAGGCGATCCAGGGCGCGGCATTGTTGGCGCGGGTCCCCGCGGTGCGGTTGAGCTTCTGCGGGGAGGTGGAGTAGTACACCCGCAGCATGAAGCGGGTTCCCTCCGTGGCTTTCAGCACCCCGTCGTCCACGGACAGCTCCGCTCCGGTCTCCTCCGGACGGAAGCCGAGCAGGCAGAGAGCCGGGGTGGGCATCAGCCAGCAGAGGCCGAGCAGGAGCCATAGGCAGCGGGGCGGAGAGAGCGGAGCCCCGCGGGACTGCGGGGACCTGAGGCAGCACCGCGCAGCCTCATCCTCCGCAGCCATGATGCGGTGTGATGAACTGGCTCAGTCCGGGGATCCGGAGTCACGTGGTGCCGCCCGGTTCCGGTCCATGTGGGAAAAGGAGGGACAATCAGCGGTCCGTTTTAACGGTGCTGATTCCGGCGATGCAACGCAGCGGAGGAGATGCGCCATCAGCGCCATTACGTCACTTTCTAATAATAGGCGCGAGCTCAGGAGTTGACATTTTGCTCTTTTCAAAATCTCTGCGCCGTTTTATGATGACAACCTGCAGGAAAACGGCGGATTAAACAGCAACACTCTACAGCTGTCAGGGAGGAACAGCTGTTGCTCCTTGGATAGTTTACCGGAAACGAGACTTTCCGGTAAACGGAAAGTTTTCACGGCTTTCCGTAGTGGGATCATTTAGTGATAATTTCTGCTGTGTTGGGGATTTAAATTCTTTTGAGACACCTTTAATTATTTTATCAGACTAAAACTGCTACAATTACCTTTCTTTGTTAGAAATGTCCATCTTAATAATTAATATTGTATAAATATCCTCTCAACATGAAAGTATTTTTTGAGTTTTAACTGTACTCACGATCTGATTCAACAACAAAAGCGTTGGAACAATCACAGAGACAGTAACTGCAGATGTTTGAAGTCAGCCATCTTGTTTTCAGAGATTTAAAAGCTCAGAGTAACAGTATTTTAGAGGAGTTCCCATATTTACACGGCATGACGGATCTGTCTTCCTTTGCACTGCAAACTGAACACGAGTTATTTTCTGGCCACAGAGTAAAGAACTTTACAAAATTTGACTTAAAATAGACAGAAAGAGTAAAAGGAAGAAAGAAAATAGTAACTTGTATTGTTTTATGGGAATGCATATAGGTAACTTTGTTTGGGTTAAAATGAAAACATATTTCTTTATGTAAACTGGACTTATTGGTTTTACAAGGTGTCTTGAAATTGAATGTGTTGTTAATGTTCTCTATTTAATTAGAATTTGTGTCCGCATGAGGGCGCTGTTTAGATGTTTCTCTGGGAAAGTTGATTGTCTTTTATTTTTTCAGGTTTAGTTATGCAGAAACGCATCTAAAAGGTTCAGGACTCTGTCCTGCTTCATGGGTCCCAACAAAACCTTCACACTATTTAACCACATCAAACATCAAATCATTTCCTTTCAGCCTTTAAAAGGACAGTGAGACGATGAGGACCCTGGTTAAAAATTGTTACTCTTTAACAAACTTAAATGTATCTGTGCAGATATCAGATAATTTAACCTTCAGAAGAAATGGAGCATTGTTTCAATAAAGCAGAATGAAGCAATATTCTCCTTTCATTTTGTGTTTCTATGCACAGTTTTGTCTCCTTCGTTTCAGTGTTACCTGAATTTTTATTTTATTTTATTTTATTTTTATTAAGGACCAAAAGTTAAGATCTTTCTTCTCTAAGCAACTGGGACCGCCATCCCTGAACATAAACTTACAAAATGTATCAATCTGGATAAAATGGAGCGATGAACGCAGTGTGGTTGGAAATGAGTCTCTAAACAGATGAACAGAGGTCAGGTTTTATTCCTCATGAAATAATCAACTAATACGGTTTCAGATAGATTGATTTTATTACAGACTCAAAGTCCATATTACATAAGAGAACAATCAATGATAACAATAATAAAAAGAATAAAAACAGTTCTAAACATACCAATGTTTCCAGAACACAGATGTGTCTCTTACTGAACTATAATTACATTAGTCAACAATATGATTGTTTCTATTATTAGACTCGTTTAATGGGCAAATAAATTCATACATGACATTTCTTAAAATGAAGAGATGACACTATAGCAGATTACTTCATGAAAGTTATCTTTGTGTAGTAATTAGAAACATATTTGTTCAAACAAAAAAACTTAAGTGACAAAAGAAGAAAAAAATCTTCTGTAGCACTGGAGACCAATAACTGAGCCCTGAGGGACACCTGAACTGATGTAGTAAAAACACTATTTATTATTATTTATGATGATGATTGTTATTTATTGGTTAATCCTAATGTGGATCAGCTGGAAGAGCATCAGGTCAGCTGCTGCTAAGTTACAAACCCAACATGTTGGTGTTTTTACCCACAGCTGCTTCTTTCTCAGGCTTCAAACCTTTTTTTCTTTTTCTTGTTAAGTGATCAAATAGAAAAAAAAAGATGACTTGTGTTCATTGAAACCTTAGAGGTGCATAAAACTCTTTTGTTATTGAGAAAATTAATGGAAAAGAATAATTTGTTTCTCTTTCCAGCTTCTTATTATTCAATAAAAACAAGAAGCCAGTCTAAATGTGGATATGATGAGAGGAAGCTAATAAACTGCGTGTATTGAGTTCATGAGCAGAAATGGATAAATTACATCCATGGGAAAAGGGGAGCTGGCATGAGGTGAGAGCCACGGTGAACAATCAAGTTCCAACTGGCAAAAACGTCAGAAAACTGAGAAATCAACAGATTTTTAATGAACTAAATGCGTTTCAAAGTTTGTCCACACGGTGGCAGTAGCGCAAAGGCTGCCGGCGCTTCCCCAAGCAGACGCCAGGTTGTTTTTGCTCATTAAATGGGTCACCTGCACTAACAGAGTAATTAGGGGAGGATTTAATTTATATGTCATGTCGTAAATTAGCAATGGCCCAATTCTTCTGGCTGCCAATCAAAGTTCAGTTGGATGTTAGTGTTCCTGTCACTATTTTTATTCTTTCCACGTTTCTTTGTCTGCACGACGGGGAATCCATGAGTGGGAGATTTTCAAACACAGACTTTGAAAAATAGGTTGCTTTGTTTCTCAACTCAAAACGGGCACTTATTGTTTTCTGAAATATGAGTTTGCAGTGAAAAGATTAAAATGCAGAACATTTTCAGCATACAAATATAAAGTTTCTTGTATGAAGAAAACATTCGTTATCTTGTTTTTCTTTCTCAAAAATTTTATGTTTTTTTGTCATTAATTAAAAACCTAACCATAAAAATACAGGTATTCATTTTTACATTACAAGATTTTTTTTTATAGACATCAAAAAAATATTTCGAAAAGTCTTCACCTTTTTAATTTAGCTGAACTGACGATAAAAATAAATAAAAATGCCTCTTTGAACCTAGAAATGTGTAACTGCAGGCTAAAACTGTCAGTTTTGGTTCGTCCTCAAACCCACCAGTAGGGGGCGCTTTGTCCACGTGGGCGAGGCCAGACCTTTGTATTAATATGCAGAAATGTATAAAGTATTTGGCGGTAGTTTTAAGTAAGCGGGTTGCTTTTAGTGCAGAGGTCATCTCTGTCACATGACCTCAGCAGCGAAACGGCTCCAAAAGAAAGAAAAAAAATCGAGTGGCTTCTGGTCAATTTGAAAGCTGTTCAAACCTGAATCTGCTAATGTTTAAAGGACAGTTAGTGATTAACTGGGCTGGATAAGGATTGTTGGTTGCAGCAGCTGCACAGACAGCGAGCGGATCGAGCCGCTCTGCCCGCTTCAGCATGCTCTGTGTCCGGGTCTGGACACGCTGTGGTGTCCGGTACCGACCGTGGAGACGAAACGTGAGCCACAAGGCCGCCGCCAGGCTGGATCTCAGCGGCATTTACCCCCCAATTGCCACTCCGTTCACCGCCAAGGAGGACGTAGACTACCGGAAGCTGGAGGAGAACCTGCAGAAATATGACAAGATACCGTTTAAAGGTTGGAGCTCAGCTTCACACAGCTCAGACAAACCGAACCTTAATGCTTCAATGATGATCCTTCACATGTTAAACACTGGACCAGAAAGTCTGCATTAAATACATGTTGTTGCTGTTTTTAGTATTGCAATAAGTTTGGCTTGTTTTCTACCCTAAGTTTTAAAAAAATAAGACTAAGCTCTTGTCTGTCGCCCCCTACCGTTCTAGAGTTGGTACTACGTTTTTTTATTTATTTATGCATTTATTTCATGTAAAAACACGAAGATAAAACAATAACCCAGATACAGAAACATAACAAAACAAAACGATGCGAAGCAGAATGCCTTTTATTGTTGTTGTACAGAAACATAACGAAATTATCCAAATAACAAAGACAAACACTTCTTTTAAAATAATAAATAACTGTGTGCTATCCAGGTTCTCCATAAGTTACCAAAACTATCCCGTTATCCCAATGAGCAAGAATGGCTTCTGTTTTTTAATTCACAGCCACAAACTTAAATTTCAGGTGATACACCAACACAAATGCACATGCCTGGAAAGTGGAAGGATAATTATAGATGATTTTTGCTAAATTTTCACAAATAAAAACCTAAAACTTGTGGTGTTTGTTTGTATTCAGTTCCCTTTACTCAATACTTTTTAGTTTAAATATTTGAGGACTTTTCACCATCAGCTTTGCAAACCTAGAGACTGAAATCTTTCCTGACATTTTGCTTATTTTACTTTAGAATAACTTGAATTCTTGTTTCAACAAAATTTATGATCTGATAATGAATTTTATTAAATTACGCTCTAAGACATTTAGTGTGAACAGGACTTTATCCTCAAGCTTTAAAATAAACATTTTCCTTAATAAAACACCAGAGTCGGATCAATGTGACGCACTTCCATCTCAGGATACAGAAACATGCCGCTAAGCATTCTGGGAAATAGTTCCCACTCCTGTCTTTTTCTCCTTTCAGTTTTTTAAGTGCTAACCTGAAAACTCTAGTTTATTAAACTCTTTCAGGTTTGACAAAATTAATAAAAAGTTAACACAACTTACTGCTGTAAGTTTGTCTTCCACAAACTCACATTTAGGTTCAAAGTCTAAAAGTTTAAATTTATTTGACTTAAAGAGTAGAAGACAGTAGACACAACTAAATGTGGCTGAAATGCTTAGTAAAAAGCCATTGTGTGAGTCCCAGGTTAACGCTGAGAGTGTTTTTGCTGCTGCAGGTCTGGTGGTTCAAGGCTCCAACGGTGAGTATCCGTACCTGACGGAGGAGGAGCGGGTGGAGGTGGTGGCGGCGGTCAGACGGTCCCTGCCGCTGGGGAAGCTGCTGCTGGCCGGATCAGGCTGTGAATGTAGGTGGGACTCTGTTCACACATTTAATAGACATAAATACACACATTTACAACAAACACACACTTTTCAGATGCGTTAGATACAAAAAAAAGTTCAAAATATACATTTGATCAATTTGATAATTATTTACTTGGAATACTGAAGGATTTATGAAAAACTAATTTTAAAAATGTGACTGTTGACGTTAATCTCATTTTTAGTTCATGGTAATTGGCATTGCTGTGAGACTATGCGAAGCTTCAAGATGAAGTTTATTAGAGCAAAAATCAAAACTCAATGGAGTTTTTTATTATTTTGATCCCAAAATAATCCTCTGCCTCTAAAAGTGAAAAGGTTATGACGTTATCATGTGTGCTGGTTATTTGATTTTTAGCACTGTAAAGTTTTATTTCAGTGCCTTTAAACTGAGTTTCAATGCGTATTTAAGCCTGAAATGATCTGAAATGGTAACGCGTTCCTCCCTGTGTGTGCGGCACCGTCTGGGTAACGAATCTTATGTTACCTGTAACTGCGTGGCGGCTAATGTGCTGAGAGTAAGACAGGTGTAAATATGAATCATAAAATCGTATCAGGAATGGCAGAAATCTCTTTATTTAGCTGTGAGAACCAGGTCAGCTGCTTGAAAGGTCATTAAATGCAGAAATACACAAGTATTTTCTTCATTTGGATTCATTAAATATTATATTCTTTCTTTTTGCAGCTTTATTTCATATTTAGTCTGTTTTCATTTTGCTAATGTTGTTTATATGTTTGCATGACACAGAGTGGCTGAGTGAGGAAATATCACATTAACAATTCATTTTTATCAAATCGTAGCTTTCTGAATCAAACCATGACAGAATGCTTTGATCGTCCAGAATAATAATTAAAAACAATTAGATTTGTAAGGAGAAAACTGTTATAAGACATAAAAAGTAAACTCTCTGTGTTTTGAATAATTAGTACAGCTGCAAAGCTCAAAAATTAATGTTTGACTTTAATTAGAGAAAAGTTTAACTGCGAAGTAAAATCAATGAGTTTTTTTTACGTTTCTGTTCAGGTTTTCATTCCAAACTTTTCAACTTTTTAAAGATTTTTCCTCATTTTCAAACATATTACAGTTTAATTTAAGATTGAAACAAACAATTTTTAATGGTGAGGTCAATCTCATTAGGGAAAAAAACGTCTCAAAATGTAAGTTTAAGTTTTAAAATACTTTTCAGTTTTACCGCAGACGCGAATGTTTACATGAAACATGGGAATGTTTCATCCTTTGAAAAACAGCATAAACTCTTGATGAAAGTTTATTATTGGTTAAATCCAATATTTGGAGTCACAGAGGGTCAGTAAGAACAATTACAATAAGACGTATTTTACTCATTTTTAATCAGACATGTTTTTATTTAAAGCTTTAGTGTTTTAATTAAAAGGAAAGGAAATTGTGTGATTATAGAATCGCATGAGAGAAACACGGAGTTTAAATTAGATTGCAGTGACAAAGATTGAACAAGATTTTCATATTTTGACATTTCTGTGGTTCTAAACAGCTTTTTACACTTTTTTTTTTAAATCTTCATGATGCGTTTAAGATGCACATTAGATTTTGTTGTGCTTAAATAACTCAAAAAGGAATATATGAATATTTTTATTAGTAATTCAGCAATACCTAAAAGCATCATCTGGAATCAAAGACTCACCAATGGGAAACAATGAATAGTTTTTAGAGTCTTAAAATGTTTTCTCACCTTTAGCTCAAACTGATGAAATACAAATTTATTTCTTTAATTTGAAGGTAAACGCTAACTAAGCATTTATCTTTTTTTTCTGTTTTTGCCACACTTAAATGTTTCAGATCATCAAACACATTTTAATATCACACAAAGATAACTTGAGTAAATATAAGGTGCAGTTTTTACATGATTTTATTTAGGACACAAAGCCAGCCTGGCTCTATTAAGCATTAACTTGCCCCTAATCACTGGTTGTGCCATGCTTTGCAGCAGCAGCTTGAACTCTTATCAAGGTGTTAAAATAATTTTCACTCAGTTTTTTTGCATTGTTGTGGAGAAACTTTTGCCCCCTGCAGAGCTTTGGTTTTCGTTTTGTTTTTAGGCTTTTAGGAAACCTGCAAAATATGAATTTTGTTCTGCAAGGAACGTCGACCATCCATGAAAGACAATGAAGGCGTTTTCATGGCTTAGCTTTGTTTGAAGCCAGGCCTGTTGCTAGGTAACGGCCGGACTTCACTGGGGTTGCAAGGTAACCCAGTTCTTGCTGATTTGTGACGTTATATTCTGAAGGTTTTTGAACCTTATAGACTGATAACCCTTAAGCAACAACCAGAGTTGGATAGTAACTAGTTACACTTACTCAACTGCATTTATTTGAGTAAGTATATTTAAAAAAACTTTTAGGACATTTCTTTACTACACTGTGCTTTTTATTTTTACTTGAGTAAATTTTTTATGAAGTATTTCTGCTCTTACTTGAGTAAATTTTTTATGAAGTATTTCTGCTCTTACTTGAGTAAATTTTCTGGATTTTCTACCCACTGAATGAAAAACAAACACGTTTTAACCCAAAACTCACCAGACACAGACACACACCTGCAGTTTTTATTAAAGTTTAATAAGTTTATTAGTGAAAGAAACTGATTTGGAAATTTTTTTTCTTTTGTCTGATTTTGTTATTTTTTGTTACTTATATGAATTATTGTAATGTTTTACGTTAAAATACCAAAATATGCAAAACTTAACTTTCTGTTTTGTTCTGTCTGATTATTAAATTTTTAAATATTAATTAATAATTTGATCAATTACTCAGTAATTGAGTAGACTTTTCAACAAATTCTTTTTTACTCTTACTGGAGTCATTCTTGGACGGCTACTTTCTACTCTTACTTCAGTAAAAGTATGTCGTAGTAGTGCTACTCTTCAGTAAAAGTTTTTTGCACTCTGGCCACCTCTGCCACTGACTCTGTTGTTTTGTTTCTGTGTTTTTTCCGTCCAGCCACCAGAGCCACCGTCCAGCTCACAGCCAAGATGGCGGCAGCCGGCGCGGACGCCGTCCTCGTGGTGAACCCGTGCTTCTACAAGGGCAAGATGGACAGCCGCGCGCTCATTCATCACTTCACAAAGGTTAGCTGACAGGTTCACTGCAGAAACATAATCATGACTTCTGACATAAGATTGATTATTACCTCGTTGAGTAGAAGACAAGAAGTGAATATTATGCCTCTGTAAGTTTGCCGGAAGGAGGAAATTTGGGTGAATGCAGGATATCAGTGAGTAAAGGTAAAATTTTGTTGGCCAGATGAGATGGAGAGATAATTAGAATTTAATTAAATTATTAAATATTAAGTGATTAGACTAAATTTTAAGCATTACATAAAAAATAGACATGTTAAAGGTGACTTATTATGCTTTCTTGAACAGGTTTGGATAGATCAAAATATGTTCATTACATTTTTTCCACAAATCTGCTCAGTTCTGCCTACTTTGAGCTGTTTTAGGGCCTCCTGTCTCTTTAAAGTCAAATAAGCTCAACGTTTACACTCATGTGTAAAAATGACTGCAAGCAAATGTTCAATTCTACAACTGTACATCTTTGAAAAGTAGAAGTAGAGCCTCCTGCATAATAAGAAGGATGGAGGATGCGGTTTCTGGATGGCAATTCAACAATGAAACACTTGTCTTTTTCCAGTAGCCATTGTACAACACATACAGAGGTAAAACCTGCCGACCAAATGTGCTGGAGCTCAGCTGGGGTTGCTAGGTAACAGGCTGGGCTTCGCCGGGGTTGCTAGGTAACGCAGCGCCTGCTGATTTGTGACGTTACATTCCAATCATTTTTGAAAAGGGTCATCTTCTGAAAACCAATAAATGTGTTCATATTCCCAAAAAACAACTAGGCGTTTTCATTTTTTTTTTTTAAAGTGCTTTTGCTGTTTTTGGGAACAGTTGGGGCCCAAATAGAAGTATAAATGTGTACAAATTGTGAATTTTACATATTAGGTCGCCTTTAAGGGGTTTAATCTCTGCAGTTAATCCTAGTTCAGATACAAAATTATGTCAGAGTACACACTGCATTGAGATTTGAAGCTTGTGAGGATGTGTATTCTCAGACCGGTTGTCATAATGTTATGTCTGATCAGTGATTTGTCAGTCTAAGTCCAGCTGGTGGCGCTATAAAACCTTAAAATCCCCATAGAGCTTTTTAAAAATAAATGTGTGACCCTGAATATTACAGACATATTAAAAACTTTTGCAACAGAAACATTAAAAGCAAAACCGAGTTGATACATTTTAGCTTTTAAAACTTATTCAAGGCCTGAAATGCTTTCAGAAAATCAAACCTGCTGTCTGCTTTTATCAAAACTAACATTATGCATTAGGGTCAAAAGAGCTTTATTGGAAAAGTTAACCAAATGTTGACTAAGAGTGAAATAATGTTCAGAGATGGACTCAGAACAAGGTAAAGCTCTCAGGTTCAGACATGTCGTTCCTCCTCCGGCCTGCAGGTGGCAGACAGCAGCCCGGTGCCAGTGGTTCTGTACAGCGTCCCGGCCAACACGGGCCTGGACCTGCCGGTGGACGCCGTGGTGGAGCTGTCTCAGCACCCAAACATCCTGGGCCTCAAGGACAGCGGAGGAGACGTAAGCTCAGGACACTTTTTAGTTTAGTTTAGCTTTTCAGGGGGAAATTCTGGTCGTCTTTCGGTTTTTGTTGTTTTTTATTTTTTTTACATTTTATTTAATCTTTATTTTACCACGTAAGTTGATTGGAAACAAGTTCTCATTTTCAGGAAACATCAAAATGTCATTCAGCAGATGAACATCATAAAACACTCAAAGAAAACATTTTCATTCTGACTAAACTGCTGCTGCAGTTTGAGACTCGACCCAGTGAGCAACAATCAGTCCCTTCTGGACGTCACTACGTTGTGATCCATTAATGCAAATTTACTGTCATTCACACATTTTTTTGCATTTTTCATCATTGTGAGTTTCCCTCAAATCTGACCAATCACCGTAACGATTTGCATTTTTTCTGACCAATCACTGCAACCCGTCTGAATTTTGACCTGAATAGACCAGATTTCAACTTTAGCTCTAGAACAGTTTTAGAAAAAGGTTGCAACAGGTTTTTAAAAAACTGAGGCTCGAGAGACGTTTCCAAAGGAGCGTAAACCACATCGCAGCGTCAACAATAACTCAACAGTAACTCAACAATAACTCCTTAATTCTTAATTTCACATCTGTTTCTGATCCACGGGGTTTTGATTAGTTTTTATTTATCATAGTACATGGTTGATTTATCCTAAAATGTCCCCCAAATTTTTAAAGAGTCTTCTTCCTTTACCACAAAATACTGAACATATTTGCTTTAATTTGAAATCTAAAACAAATATGAAGAAGAGAGTCACCTGCTGAAGGTTTACTGTGTGTAAACACCCAGAACCGCGTGACGACTCGTTCAGTAAATCACAGTTTATCCTTGAAGTTCTTTGGTTTTGTTTACTATAAATTATCTTTCAATCCCAGTCAGTCATTTATTACTGAATTTGTAATCAGTTCGCAGCTGATTCACTTTGAATGTGTGTAAATAAATTTACAATTTTCCAAGTTGACTGTTAATGTTTGTTGAAAGTCCGTAGATGTTGTTGTCATGTCTGCATCATGTTCTGTTTTTCTTTTTTCTTTTTGAGTGAACGCACAGTATTTTAATTATCAGTTCAGCCTCCCAGAAACTGAAGTATCCCAGACTTTGTATAGGTTATTATTTTTTAAACTCAATAGCTGGCCGATGTTTTTTAAGACTGAATAAAAAGAAGCAGTTATGTGCAGATGAATGGACAGAGGTGCAGGGCCAACGAGGCTTTCAGTGAAGCTGAATGGAAAAAGTCATCACACTTGATCTTTACAGTGAGAATAACATTTATTCAACACACAAGGTCAAAATTTATCATCACTAACCTTTAATTTTGATCTTTCACCTGCAGTGACACTTTTTCTTCTGTTCTTTCGCTTATCCACTTAATTTCCAGATTTAAACAAAGTTAACGTCATAAAGCATCTTTTCCCTCTGAGTTTTTTTTAAACTACAAACTGAGGCTCTTATGTTACACAAAACAGGGACCCATGAAAGTTAACCAGTTTATTTCCCTTTATTGAAAAGAGAGCAAAATTAATGAACGAGAGATTTGATACTTAAAAGTCATTATATCAACACCGTCGACGTTAAACAGGTTTTATGCTGATATTGACTCTTTGCAACTACATCATTAAATCATTTAAGGCGCCAGGATGTGAAGTGAGGGACTGACATTGTTTCCCAAAGTTGTTTTTACCAGTTTATTCATGGCTTCTTCTTGTTCAAGTCGAGCTAATTTGTCTGTGAACGTTACACACCTGGTTGGGGCTCACAGACGGCGGTATTTCGAAACAGCTAGCTTAGAAACCGACCCGTACCGCCTCCCTCCTGACGTGTTGATCAAATTACCGACTTTGTCTGAATTCACACCACATGATTTATATCAGTCATAAACAATGTTTCCCTTTTACACCGGAGGAGCCTTAAAAAAGTACAGAAGACGAGATGCTGACCAGTTTTTTCCATACATGCTAGGCTACATGACGGTGCGGCACTGTTTCCATGGTTACCAACGTTTAGACACGTACCTTCTCCATTATGCGATATTTAATATCTTTCTAATCATACTTTCTTGTAAAGTATATGAACGTTAATCTGTAACGAATGAATATAATGTACAAATTTTACTTTTTGGGGGAATTACTGATTTAAATAAACTGTTTCATGATATTCTAATTTTTTGACCAGCAGCTGAACATCATCAGAATAATTAGCAACTCCTCGCCAATGTTCCCCTGTAAATTACTGATATCAATAAATTTGAAAATATGATGAAATGCAGAAGGATTCTTCATAAAATCAAGAAAATTATGGACAATCCTGACCATCCTGTCCATGAGAAAACAGAGCATCTTCAGTCAGAGGCTCCTTCAGATTCGCTGTAACACAGACCTCTACGGGAGATCTTTCCTGCCAACAGTCATCACTATCTACAATAACTCTTCTGAAGAATCTGAATCAGTGAGTTGCAACATTTAATTCACCTTTGGGATCAATAAAATGTTTTTAATTTGAAGCTACTGTGTGCAGTTTAGTGGAACAAATCAAACTTCCTTTGTTTGCTTAAAGAAGTATATTCAAAATATTGTTTACATCATATTATCCTTGCATTTTAACAAGTAAATTCAGAGTCTTTTTATTATCAAATATTTCCCCACTACCAAAAGAAATTCACTGCTTTGACATGGTTCAAATATAAAACAGCTTGTTTAAAATGGAAGCAGGAAGAAATGGCAACAAGTGGGCATGGACTCGGGAACTAACTGGTCAAGGACCAAACAGACGGGTTTGAATCGTCTTCCTGTTCAAAAACGAGCAATTTGCTGTTGTGTTTATGAAAAGACGGACTGATTGTCAGCAGCTTCTTCACGTCTGAAGGAGCCGTGGCGGCTGAAGAGCCTGAAACCAAAGTGCCTCCAGCTCTCCGGTGCTGCCTGATTGCAGGGTTGCGTGCCGGAAGGAGGAAGAACGCCTTGCTCTCGTCAGGCTCTTCATAGCTTTTTGTCAGTGTGGGAAGTGTTTGCAAGAAGTTGCAAATGGGTTCCTGGTTTGGGAAATGACATGTTTGTGAACTTGCTGTGAGACGGCAGAGTGGCGCTGCCCACATACAGAGCAGGACGGTTCAGCGTGACGAAGAACAACAGAGACGGGCAGCGAGCAGTTACATTTACTCTGCTGCATTCACCTGAGTAAGGTTTTTTAAAAAATAAGTACTTTTAGGAGTATTTTTACTATGCTGTAC